TTGTTATCGACTGACCTCTGACTCCACTGCCACATCCCCCACAGCTCCCGCCTCCTCCCCTCCCTCTCCTCTCCCTCCCCTATCATGGGAAGCCACCGTCCCTCCATCCTCCCTGGCCTCAACCACTGGTCCAGGAGACCCCACTCCTCCCACATGCTGGTAGGGTGTCTGCAGCATCTGGTACAGATGACGGACCTGGAGAACAACACACTTTCAACATCAGTAAAAGTACAGCGATTGATGTTTACCAGTGGTTTCAGGAGGTATATATGCTCAACAACCCTCCTTAACACTCGGATAGTGTTGGGTGGAAATGGAGTAATTGTGGAGATAGATGAGTCGCTGTTTAGACACAAACCGAAGGTGTGTGTAGAATATTGGTGGTAATTGCTGTCCTTTGGCCCTTGCAACATCACCATAGGCGTCCCCTCACCATCAGTTATACAGTGGAACCCCTCTAAGGCGGACAACTTAGAGCCACAACATTTGTCCATTATAGCGGGGTGTCCTTTATGGAGGGGTTTTGCCTGATTATACAGTATTACACAATTCCATGTCACTAATTCACTGTTTAACATCCTTAAAAACGCTCTAGACAAGATTAGAACATGATATGATGATGATGATGACAGTAGTCGATCAAAGTCTATAGAGCGCTAAAATATTCCGCGCTTCTTTTTATCCGAAAGATTTCAAAATTTTCACATGCTGCCGTCGTGTGAGTATAGTAGAGCGAGGGATCAAAGGTCGGCCACCATCAATGGTCGGACATTTACTCTGGGAATATCAAGGCACTAAGGCAGATCTTGACTACATCAATATATACAAGTCCAAAGACTCAAAACATCAGACAAAAATATCACTTGTCGGACGGCTCCGTTTTCTTGCTCTCTTGTACACGCACCAAATAACAGGCAGCAGCTTTAAGTAAGACTACCCCTCTACTACTTGTATACAACAAGTGAAGCGAGCCCGCGTTCACACGTCGTCGCAAACATGGAATGGTCCCGCCCTCGATAATCGGACGCGCATGCGCATTACTAAGGAAGAGAATACTGATCATAATTGACCAAAAAAGCTTAGCAACAGGGGTTCCATCTCTTGCTTTTGTTAAAGATATCTTTACACACACGCAGTGATACCACTGGGTGCATCTTTCACACTGAACCCAATTCCTGGCTCTTGTATGTTCACATGTTCCACAAACACATTTACCTAATATAAATGACTAAAAATTAAACAAACAATAACAAAACTTACTGTAGTCAGTCAGTGGTGCCACCCTTGCACGTATGCTACGTGTTTGCACTAGAGTGAAAGAATGTAAAAATGCCTTACATGGTACTGCACCGTAAAACAATGTACCTTTCCTCTGCGGCCTATTCTGTCTCTCCTTCGTGCCTGGAACTGTAAATAGTGTGGCACATAATTTTTAAACCAACCACAGTTTACTGACCTAGTTCTGAGTCAGCCAGCTGAAGTGTGCTCTTGCCTTGAGCTATCCCGCCAACACTGGACATGTCCACTAAATCAAGCATAACGTGCACATAACTACAATAATTATTGTTTGCTTGGCTCGCAAAATACACTCACATTGAAAGGAAAGCCACAAGTTGTAGCGATGATCATGTGTTAAGTCGTATTCATTTTCATATCTTCTTTTAAAAAGGTACAATTCTTCACAGGAAAATTCGTTTTCACTAGCATCTGTCAGGTTAATAATCAAATCCCGTTACTTCTTACTACATACTACTTTACCACCAATGTCTACATTTTGGTGTGTTGTATATAAGTGGAGCGGTTGACCTTTTCTTCTTAGCAACTGAAAGCAAAAAATAATTACTGAGAGTATTACACCTTTGTTAAAAATTTATTACTCAATGCACACTTTTCGCAAGTGGGAGCGACCCAACTGCGGATACACAATCATTCCTCAGTATGTACAGAGAGCTCCTGCTCGCCAATTATCATTCACCTTTGGAGGCTAGCCTGCTTCTTCTTTCTTCCTTGGCTTTTATTCGTTCCACCTTCTTCTCCTTTTCCTGCTTTGTTCGCTCTTTTTCCGCAGTTTTGCTAAGACTTTCTGCACTTGTCAATACGCAGCCACATGACTTTGGACGATATGTTGTTTGTCTGTTAACAGGAGAGGGACACCTAAGGAATCTGTTCACTGTTGAGGATTGTGGAGCCTGAAGCCAAACACAAGAGGCGTCAGGAAGCTCTGAAGTATCATCACCAAGGTGGTATGTGCTTGAATAATCAAGATGGGGAGAGCTACTTTCAAAACATTGCTCAGAGGCAAGAGGCTTGGTACGTCGTATTGCAGGACTATATAGTGGGATGAAAGCTAGTCCACTCTCTCTTACCAATGGAGGGTCTTCCACATCAGAAAATATGTCCCTGTTCAGAGGATGCACCCCTGTGACCCTGAACCCTGCACATACGTTACTTACTGTCATGCTTTTCATCCATGCTTGATTGAAAAGCCTTGAAAATTGGTACCGGGTGACAATGTTTCCTGGGTTCATTGCCAGGAACTGGTGACATGCTTCCCTCAATGCAACTTTAAGAGGACCAAAGCACCCTTTGTCAAGTGGCTGTGATAGGTGAGTTGTATTGGGCGGCCGAGTGAATAAAATGACCTGTTCGTTTGCTGCGAGTCGGACGGTATCTGGGCAGTAATGAGAAGAGTGACCGTCTAGAAGGAGTAAAATTGGTCGGACTGCGGGTGCAAAGCGCAAAAAAATGGTTGGTAAGCCATAGGTTAAAGAGTTCCATGTCCATCCACCCATTTTTAGACAAACCATATATGGTTCCAGGAATCTCACCGTGAGTTAATTCTGGTGATAGAATTTTTCTGTCCCAGATCACCATTGGGGGAATACAATCATCAGCACTCACACACGCTAACACCTCTTTACGAGACTTGGCGTAACCTATTGAGGTGCAGCGTGTAAGAAAAACAACCAGCTCTTCCTCTTCTGCAAATGAGAGGTAAGTTGCAGGACCACATGAGGCATCTGCTAACACACGGCCACTTAACCGGTCGCCCAGAGATGACTTAGAGACACCATACTGCTCAGCAGCATGACGAATGCTCATACCCTCATGTAATACTGCATCTATCGCTCCGTGCATTTGCTCCTGTCCTCAAAGTCTATATATTCCTGTATGCCCCACATCTCTATAGGGTGCTGTCAGTGGCAGTGGGCTAACATTTCTGTTGCAATAAACCCTGTTCCTCAAGGGAATTGACTGAAGCATCTTGTAAAACCTATTCGTTTAAAAGCAGGACAATTAATAGCATACGCTAATCACTGAACTAAGTGCTAAACCCTTGGCACGAAAGTCAGGAGAGATAATATTGCGGAAAGAGCATAGCTGTTGCACAGTCGTAAGGCAAAAAAGTTGACTAAAATTGTGCATAGTGAAGTGGAGTCCTCCCCTCTCTCTCTTTTTTTCTACTTATTCATGTGAAAGCGTGAGCCGTTTTAAGGGATTGCACAACCCGAAGCTATGAGGTTGCAGCTCTGGTGTGGTGTGTGTGTGTGCGACACTCTACGCATGTCACCGCCAACACACGTAGTGCGCATGTTATGTGGGTGCAACAAATGGCGCGAGCCAGTAGTACAGGGAAAACGCTCTGGGTCAGAACAAGGCATTTTTAAAAATCCGACATTTTTTTATCTTCATCTGCCACTGAGGTATATAGCTTCATTTTTCGGGAGACTAACTCAAAAAGTGAGTTATCGAATAACGTACAAACACACACAGAGATCAACTACCCCCCTTGGCACATGTGCTGAGGGTCTACAAGCATGTAAACAGATCGACTCGAAACCAAACTTCTTATACAGATGTGGCATGCAATTCATAGGCATCTGCAGTGGCCCTACTGGAGTCCAGCTAGGCGGTCTGTAGATAGAAACACACTATCATCATCACAATGCCTTAAGCGGCAAGAAAGAGAGCAAACTAACCAAGATCACAGCTGCCTGCGAACACTTGGGGAAACTTGACTTGCGACCCGGACGCACGCAAGCCACGCATGCGCGTCCGATAATCGAGGGCGTGACCCCTGCGGAAATTTGCGACGACGTGTAAACGCGGACCCGCTTCACTTGTTGTATACAAGCAGTAGTTACTTAAAGCTGCTAACTGTGATTTGGTGCGTGTACAAGAGAGCAAGAAAACGGAGCCGTCCGACAAGTGATATTTTTGTCCGATGTTTTGAGTCTTCGGACGTTGACTTTGTAGGACAACCGCTCAGCCATGGAAGCAGCCGAGCGGATAATTTTTGTAGGAGTAGCAGGTCAATGTGTAGGCTTTGTATTGATGTAGTCAAGATCTGCCTTAGTGCCTTGATATTCCCAGAGTAAGTGTCCGACCATTGATGGTGGCCGACCTTTGATCCCTCGCTTTACACACGCGTGTGCGTAGCTATACGCGTGTGGCTCCGTATATACTCTCGCAATATCAGTCCTGCAAGATGCCCTTCTTCGTCGAAGAGAGAGGGAAAGAGAACATCGTGCCCGTGAGACTCCTGAGCAGAGAGAGGCTCGTCTGTATCAGCGTCGCTTGCGTGTGATATGGAACTTCAAAATTTTTACACGCTGCCTAGCTGTCATATCTAGCCAGCGAAAGAACAATAGTCTATTCGCTGGCATTCGCTGCGCTCTTCGATACCTGACCGGGGCTGTATCATACCTCTTTCCAATCTTCGTGGTTCTAGGATGGCTCGTGCAGATACAATCATTGTGTGCTCGCTCCCGCTCGCCAATAATGCAATGCATTCGCCTACTATTTAGTATTCGCTGGCAGGGGGCGCGGCAAACTGTCCGTTACGCGGGGTTTTTTTCTACGTTGAAAAGCATTTGGGATTGGTTTTACTGTCCGTTATACGGAGTAGCGGGGTCCGTTCTGGAGGGGTTATGAACGTACGGAACTATACGCTAAAACAATCGGGACCTGCGAGTTTGTCGGTTATAACGCGGTGTCCGTTGTAGAGGGGTGTCCGTTAAGCGGGGTTCCACTGTAGGTCTTTGGAATTGTGGACACTTCCCAGGTCCCAGGCCTTGGATACATGGAAGTTGTTCCATCACGGGATGGCAACACTGTTTTACCCATAATTCGAGCACACACAGCACCAGGAACAATACACTCAGACCAGTGGCGGGCTTACAGCACGGTCAGCTCACTCCCCGCTGTGACTACTCATCACCTCACAAACAATTCTGAGTGCCTACTGTAAGTAGCAGCCATGGTAGTTTTGGTACACAAAAAGCACTATTAATTTTCATGGTGTAGTAAATCACTCGCTATATACACTTCGTGGACCCTGTAACTGGGGTGCACACCCACACAGTAGAAAGCTACTGGAATCGTGTAAAAACGAAACTGAAAGGTTGTGATGGGGACCAACTACCGAGTTATTTGGGTGAATTATTTATGAGGAGGGAGAGGTATAATATACGGGAAGACCGGTAATGATGCCCTGCAAAGTATCATGAGGGATATAGCTACACAGTGTCCTGTTTGAAGTGACACACTTAGCTACTAAGAGTCTGCACTTATAATCCTGTCTCGGAGGGTCCTTATAATAATAATAATAAATTATATAGCATGTTCCACTGTTCTGTTCTGTAGGTGAGGATAGAGAGTGTGTCAGTATAATACTGGGTGAAGATGTCATCATTCAGGATGTCAATGGAGCTCGCATTTTGCCTCACAAGAACATCACTGTCTCCAGCCACCCTCAAATTATCGCATAGGTTGTATTTTTTTATAATAATAGACAAATTCAATGATTGATGTTAATTACCCACGCTATGCATCACTCTATAACATGACTGGTTGGTCACACAATATAATATACAGCAAGCCACCTGACTGGACTCAGACTCCGTGCGTCTCCTGATCCTCCTAGTAGCCAGAGAATCAGGTTTGTTTGGCCATAGTAGTAATCATCTGTCTATGCAATAAAATTATTGCAATCTTCTTCACAATAAATATAGGTTAGACGCGGAAGCGAGGTGTCTACGCTACATTGCAACCCGAGGGGCTGTGGAATGTTGGCGTCCCGAGCGCAGCGAGGGCGCTACCCACATGCCCCGAGGGTTGCAATGTTGCGTAGACAACCGAGCTTCCGCGTCTAACCGGTTTAGACCGGAGTATCTGATTGGTGTTTGCGCGTTCAAATGGGTAGCAACAAGCTAGCAACGCTGCGCTCATTCCTCATTCCTTACCTTCGGATGGAACAAGACGCTTTTTTTTACGTGTGAGACTCCGAGGAGACAGCCCCCGCCCCCCGTCAAAAATCGTTTACGTCATCATAAAACGCCCTCATTGGTGGTGCGCGTTTGAAAGGGTTAGCAACGCACGGCAACGGCCCAATGTGTTTGTGTATCGCCAGAGCTGAAGAAGCCGACGCTTTTTTCCTGGAATATTGACGTGATTTCTGACTTTCGCGAGTTCCGGAGACTGTCCACAGACTTCTTGCAGGTGCACTACGCATTTTAAAAGAGCTATTTTGCCAGTCGCGCCTTCTACGCTTACATATACCGAACGCGGAATCGGCCGGTTTGCGCAGATAACGACTTTTGAGAATAGCCATTTTGTACGGGGAGTTTGCTGTAGACCACCTGCAAACGCCATTAGACACCTGAAACGAGGTGTCTATGAAAAATAAACCCCCCGCAATTCTGTAATCTTATTGGTCAATTGCGCGTGACTGCGGTCTAACAGGTGATGTTGGGGTTCTCTGGCAGTGCTATA